AGAGCAGCGATAGCAGCGAAGTAGGTGATGGTCGGTGAGGAACAGTACAGTACAGTATGGTATGAGGCGAAGGAGCTGACTGGTGACTGTGCCAGGACGCCAGAGGACGAAGCGCACTGAGTTGGAGACGGTCGGTGAGGAACAGTACGGTACAGTTCGGTATGAGGCGAAGGAGCTGATGGGTGACTGTGCCAGGACGCCAGAGGACGAAACACGCTGAGTTGGTGATGGTCGGTGAGGAACATTACGGTACAGTTCGGTATGAGGCGAAGGAGCTGATAGGTGACTGTGCCAGGACGCCAGAGGACGAAGCCCACTGAGTAGGTGACGGTCGGTGAGGAACAGTACGGTACAGTATGGTATGAGGCGAAGGAGCTGCCTGGTGACTACGCCAGGGCGCCAGAGTATAAAGCGTGTTGAGTAGTTGACAGTCGGTGAGAACAGTACAAGGTGAAGGAGCGGCCTAGCAACTGGACAGCGACCGATGGAGCTGGCAGGTGGACAGCGACCGATGGAGCTGGCAACAGTCGGATGATAGCTGGTGACAATCCGGCAATCACTGGCGATGGTCTGGTGAAACTTGGCTTCAGTTTGGCGTAATGTGGTGACATCTGACTATGGCAACTCTTTCCCAGAGGTAGCTGACGACGGTGCTTGCCAAAAGCATCAGGGATGTTGTTAGTAGTACGAGAACGTCGACGGGAACCAGGAGAACGGTGGGATGATGCAACATCAGAGCAGACGGGAGGCAAGAGCAAGTCGTCTGTATGCTGCTGAAGGAGATGCTCCCAAAAGCCAGGAATGGCAGTAGGATTAAAAAAATCAAGAGGCGCAGATGTCGTAGATTTGGGGGAAGGACCAGAAAGAACTGTCATGGGCGTCTTCGGATCTGAAGGTGGAGGGGCCGGATCCAACGGGGAAGGAGAGGTCAGTAATGGAGAAGGACAAGGCATCTCCTTCCTGTGAGCAAGTTGTTACTTGCGACGAATAAGAGACATGAGAGCACTAACAGAGCATTGATTGGCAAACGAACACGTAGGCTTGCAGTAGGGGCAGAGCTGATGGTGATCTTTCCCAGACTTGGGCCTTAAGTTAACAGTGTAATGACCAGAATCAATATAAAGTAAAACATGTTACTGGAACAACAGGTGAACCTAGCGCTCAAACACAACCAGTGTGTGAAGAGTGACTGGCAGCAAACCAAAAACATAATATGCCTAATAAATAGAAATAATGTCAATAGAAAGACATAATCAACAAAGTAATTGAGAGTTTTATCAATTGTTGAAGAAAACATGAGTCACGAAAGTTAAAATGGAGACCAAGGCGCGAAACGTGCAAAGTTACACAGCAATAAACAAAAACGAACCATCAAGCCATAAACTGCAAACAAGCAGATATATCAAGCAGGGAAAGGATAAATGAAGGTAACACTACCTGAAGTCAAAGATTGAAGACGATACAAGGTAAGTAGAACTTAGTTCCAATACACGTCAGAGGACAGGGCAGACGAATATGAGGTACAGGCTGCAGTCTGTTTCAACTGTCTCTTCGTTCCAGTACTGTCTGTTTGCATAAGGAAGAGAAGCTAAAGCACTGTGAAGCTGCAGGTAAGGTACAATCAAACAATAGTTAACATTGTTAAAAATTCTAAGAATACTATCTCTATTACATCTCTGCCATAAATCCTGCATTTTTTCTTCAGTCACACAAACAAAAAAATTCAGATTTTCACTGTCAATCACCCACAATTAGTTGTTCCCAAGTAGCATCGTAACCACCCAAGGTATGACGTATGCAATGTCAGGAACCTCACTTTTTCCCCAAATCTAACTGCTAGAAGTAGATGAATTAGGGAGGTGGGTGGGTGTACTTCCGATGTAATAGAGGTAGTATTCTTAGAATTATTAACAATGATAACTATTGTTCGATAATTCTTACGAAATCTCTACCTCTATTACATCTCTGCCAGAAGGGATACCAGAGGGACCTGGTGGGATCTGCCGTTAGTCACTCCCTGTGTAATTGAAAGTAATCTCTTTTGGAAACCATTATTTACTGATTCTAATCCTAACTCGAAATAATTTCCTCTGAAATTCCCCCTGAGGACTTCAAAATCAAAAATGTAAACTTCTTTTTCGGCTCGATGAGTTCCACAAAAGTATATCCCTCCATATAATCCCGCTGGGGTGAGTCGTCGCCTGATTAATCTTTTCATAAAACCCCGCTTCTGCCTCCAGTGACCATGGGTAGCTCCCAGGGGGTGGATATTCATGATATTCCGTACACTCCATGTGTTCCCCGTGCGGTTCATCATCCGCTGGGGTCCAGGATTCCAGTATGATTAAGGTCTGTGCGGCTTGTGATGGCTGCCCATGTATAACGGAGCCTGTATGGTAATCTTTGTGCAGGTGGCTTGAGTACCGTCAGTTGATGGTGATCATATGGTAGGCTGGCTGGCTGGTTGGCTGGCCGGTTGGCAGGTTTACCGTGGAGTCCATGTGGTAAACGTATGGTGTCTTAACGGTCGGCTTGAACAATCGGCTGGGTTGTTGTGGAGTCCGTGTATCTTAGCTGGGGAGTATGGCCTTGCGGTACCCTGCTGGGACCCAAGCGAAGATTTAGCTGACCGTGTATCATGGTGGGGAAAAGCTCGAGAGCTTATACCCGGCTGATCGGTTGGCTAGCAAGCTGTCTGGATAGTCGTCAGGACGGTCGGCTGGGATGCTGTGGGGTCTGTGTGGCTGGCTTGGGAACCACGGGTTGATGGAGATCATAGGTAAGCCAATTGCTGTACGGTCGGCATGGAGTCCGTGCTGTAGCCGTAGAGCATCTTAACGGTCGGCTGGCTGGACAGCTGGCCCATGGAGTCCGTGCGGTGCCTGTACATTATTGTCTCATGGTAGGGAAAAGCCTGCAGGATGATACCTGGCTGGTTAGACGGCTGGCTGGTCGGTACGGTCGGCTGAAGAAGGCCCTATGGCTGTGTGTGTTGAATTGACAGATGGCAGTCCCCCATGTGGTCTTGTGACCGGGAGACTTATCTTCGCCAAAGCTATCTCGTTTGCACTCTCTTTATATTCTCCAGTTCTTCGTCTAGGGCTGAGAATCTAGCCTCAAACATATTCTCATCTCCTGCTGTTGACTAAAAAGTTCTTGGATTAGACTCATGGAGAGTGCAGGAGATGGTTGATGTCTCAGCTGTGATGACCTCCAGCTTCTTCATGGCTGCCTCGCGCCGCTTAGCCTTGGTCATAGCCTCGCCTATTTAATGAAGGTCTCTTTAGATGTGTTGGCACGCTGCGCACATCTTTTGTTCTCCGTGCAAGTCGTCCCTCTGCACTTTATGCAGTTACCATGAGGAACTCCAGTGATTATGAATCGACCACAAGTCTTTCACCCGGGAGTAGAGGGAAACTCCATTACCACCTCACAAACACCTAGACCCAGTTATACTCATCTGCGTGTGATTGTCACTCCAGAAGCAGCTATTAATATCTACTTATGTGTCTGTTATTATAAGAAACTATAAGATTAATCTTAGAGTAATGTGACTTACTACCAAGTGCTAGTTCGTACTACTAATACAATAGGTGTTGACTCTAGCACACACAGGAAAAATGTGAGGTTCCTACTATTGCATATGTCATAACTTGGATGGTAATGATGCTACTTGGGAGCAACTAATTGTGTGTAATTGACAGTGAAGAGGACGTCTGTTGAAAATCTGAATATTTTAGTTAGTGTGACTGAAGCCAAAATACAGGATTTATGGCAGAGATGAAATAGAAGTAGAGATTTGATTTGTGAAATATGGATTAAAATACGCCAAAGTCAATTCATCTTTACCAAAGCAACGCATGACAGTTGTTGTAGACCAAATAGCTATAAACCTATGGACAGACATGGCACAATGATAACTAGAGAAGCGTGTGTATAGACATTAAAGCCTTAGATTAAGTGTTGTCATACATTTTAAACATGCAAGTGTTGCACCAAAAAAGGCCTAGGTCTCAATCATATGAATGCATATGATATCTTTCATAAGAATTTACATAAATTGTGGTAAATGTCTTCAGTTTAAATTATAGAGATCTAGTCGGCTTCAAAGGGACCTAATGTCTAGTTATTCGCAAGATGATCCTTTCACAGAATTCCATGAAACACATTTTTCAAATTCAGGCACTATTAATCAAGTCTAAATGGCTTTTCTACACAGCTGTCCCTTTTGCAAATCAGATTAGTATTGCATAAAGAACCTATCAATTTTATTAACTGTATCAGCCTGTTAGGAGTATCAGTTCACTAAGGCTAACGCCATCAAAATATCATTGTTCCGCTTAAACCGCAGAGCAATCAATGGCTCCCATAAATTTCAACAAACACTGATCCTCGTTCGTTTAACAATTATACCATTTATCAGACTTTCTGGTAATAAAAGGTGTTCATCGTATCTGGACATATATCATTGCAATCTATTAATTTTATTTAAATTTTCATTCAGTATCTTTGGTGAAATATTGTGTGAAATGATCATCAGATCACATCAAGTCACCATTATTAACAGTAACCACGATCAGATTATCGCTATTGGCATCTTGAAACGACTCTAAGTTGTCACAGAATGGATATATATATCATACACATCATACATTAAGTCGTTTTAAAAGTCATATTTGTTATAGACTGACTAATACATGTCAGCAGATTGTTTTCGCGATCAAAATAGCAAGACCGCAGGACTAAAATGGTGACTCTTCAAACTATTCCTTACATAAAAATCATCCAGCTATATACTAAAGTTCTACTCTTTAAATTACTATTATTTTATGTAAAATAGTGAAAATTGCAACTTAAATCACACAATACTAAAATATATTACTACTGTTCAAAATTCTTTTAAGTTACGTCAAACTGCATATAAAACAATGCCTAGCAGAACAGGAAATTTAATTAAAATGGTAAATCATCATGTCTAGAGGAATAATTTTGGGTGTCTGTTTTTAAATCAGGGGGTCATCCATAAACCCTGAGGCCAGAGTTTATTTTGAGGGATGACTGTACTGTCATTATGAAGCTACCTGATCTTTTCTTGAATACTTGAATACTAAGTTAATAAAAGCCATCATAAATAGGTCAAGAAGAATACGCAAAAAATATGAGAAATTTGTTGATTCAAACCAACAGCATGAATATTTCAGAATTGAACAGTGAACTCACCAGGTTTTTTTAATGTTTATACCTCCACAAACGTAAAAAAAAGAAAGATGTCAATTCCAATAAATAAATAGGGCAACAGCAATAACTTCACAGACAACTGTTTCATTAACACAAACAAACTATAGACATTGATATGAAATCAGTGAAATCAGTCAGTGCAATTATGCAAACACAATCGACCAAACAAGTGTTGAAGTAGTTCACTTGACGGTATGGACTAATTCTTTTAGATTTTTAGAAACAAACACAAAAAATGCTTGGTAAGGCAAACAAATGCCACGGAATCACTTGTTATTTATTTATTTCATAATAATCCCTACATAGTGTGAAATCAACACTTTCAGTATGGTTGATCGTAGCTATGTCAACAGTAAAGCTGTGTGTGATTTTCTAGTGTGATGATCAGAAATTGCAATCTCATTGGCATATGCTTCACCTTTGCTCTTATGCACTATCATTTATTCAGTAAACAACACCCCACATCATTACTTTTTATGCTTTTTAAGTGCAAAGATCGAACAAATTACAAATCATTATTGTACCTAGGATAAAACTATTGTGACCAGTCATTATTCTAAAGTCCAGAAATAGAGCCACAAGGCTCTGTCGCTTCCCTGAATGATGAAGAAATAAGTTTATGACACTTCAACCTTGTTTGGTGGCAAACAACTATAGTGAAAAAATGGTGCAAAAGAGTCCAGGCAAATGAAAATAAATGTTGTTACTACATTGGTGATATGAAGTCTTCTTTCAATGCTGTTGAGTTCAAATCATATTGATCAACACACTTGATCTTCTTATAGTCATAACATTGTCAATTTTCTGGATTAATAAAGTTTTCATAAAATGTTAACAAAATAAAATTGTTTTAAGAACACATTGATTTGAACAAGGCAAGATGTCTTCATAAGAATAAACCTGCATGCTAAATTTCACCTCATCAGTTAAGCTGAATCAGAGAAGATATTTGAGAGCATGTTAAAAGTGCAAAGGTCTTTCCATTGTTGAGGTGACTGAGGGTCAGTAGTCTGTTAGAATGAAACCACCCTATTTTAGGTCAATAGGTCCCTGTTTTGGCTTTATTAAGACAAGAAGAAAGTAACATAGTTGTCCAATTGGTCCTAATAATGACCTGTGTCTGCGGACAGTTTGGGCCTGATTGAACATGTTTCACTATTTTGTCCTACATCAAAATTTGTAGGATGGTGAAACTTTGCCAGGACCTGCTGTCTACTGACAGCCTCTCCTAATGATGCTCAAACCACTTTTTTGAAATTCAAGTTTGGTTTCCATGGCAACCATATGGGAAAACCTAGTTTTTGCCATTGCTCTTTAATGTCTTGTGGATGGCTTCATATGTCTTGTGATGTCGAAAATATAAAAGTTTACGATAGACAGACAAGGTACCATGCCATATGCTCGCTTGAAATGAAATTTCAGGTGGCCCAAAAAATGATAAGTACCTGTACACACATTATGATTAGCTGATATCATGTTGTCTTGCAAGTATCAATGCTGACACACTATTCAACACTAATAAGACCTTGAGTGGACTCACACTGCTACACAATTTTTTTAAATACAACGGCAGTTTGAATAAAAACAAGTTTCAGATAATGACTCCACTGCAATACACCAAACTTTCTACTGATCATCAAGGTTGTTTCCAATTTCCCATCGAAGAGATACCCATAAACAAATATAATCACACATATAATTGAACACATCCCATACAGACCATGAAGTATCTGCTATCTTCACAGAACCTCATAATATGTGACTTTCTTTGTCCTCCTGACAAACAACTTGAGCTCCATTAGTGAAGATACTTCATATAGTTTGTTGGTTTCATGTGTGAAACTGATTGAGAGAGCAAAGATTCAGATAATATGCATGTACACCAATGGTGTGTTGTCACATGACTGGTATATCTTCTGTTACCAATACTGGTAATACACAAAGCTGCAGTCTGTGAAGTCTCGTTCATACACCAGTAGTATTCTTTCCTGGAAAACTGATGAAGCTGTAATTTCAAATTAGCATCTTGATTGTTTTGATGTGTAGTGTAAGAGGAGCTCCAGCATCGCAATGTGTGGCTGTCAGACATTCGGGAAGCTGCTTTCACGGTCCTGACCGACACTGTCCTGTACAATATAAACAAGAAGGAAACATGAGCAATTAAACAAAACATTGTTGACAAATATAAAAATAGTGCAATATAGTGCAGCTCAAATACTTACAAATATAAATGATGAGGTATCAGGGATGTCTTTGCTACCTTTCAAATTATAAGCAAACAGAAGCTAATTTAATACTCTAATTATGACAAACATTCCTTTCAAGTTGAAGCATATTGGTTCAGTAGTTTCAGAGTAAAGTTCTTGCATCAAGGTTCACAATGGTTGAAACTAATTACCCTGACCAAACTACATACATTATCATTCGTGTCAAGATTGTTTGTATTGGTTGTTTTCTGAGAAATAAAACAAAAACAAAATTGCTCTCTCTCTATTTGTTTTCTTAAGAAATATAGCCAAAAGGCTGAGTAGTTAACCTGATGTTTTCAGGAACATGAGTTTTAAAAGGGTGAAAAAGCATAAGCGTAAGGAATAACAGTTTAAAAATAAGTTTTTTTCCACAAATATTTAGTCAGTCAGTCAGTCACAGAGTCATTGAGTGAGTTTGGTGTAACAAACAGTATTTGGCACACCTGGGACTTTCCTTAGTTTTTGCTGTGTTTCCCATCTCCTGCCCACCCTGAAATTTCATTCTGACTTGAAATAATAAAAACTTTTCTTATCTCAATTTCCCCTGCCCCCACTGTGGACATTTGTGTCCTGATATAAAAAAATACTCTTACCATTGCCCACTCATGAAAAATGTAAGATCTGCTTTATTTTTCTTCAGCTATATTTATTAAAATTTTGTTTCTGAAGAAAAGTGACTCAATCTATGTCATAAATTATTATCACACCTAGCATTAAAATACTAGCTTCTGATTGGTTACGGAGCAGGCAATTATTTTCCATGAAGCTTGCTCATGTACCCTGTTGAGAAATCAATTGGAACACATCTTAGGTAACTTGCTTATCTCACATAAGTAACGTTGAGCTGAAATGAACCAATGTTTATCCGAATGCATTTGAAAAGGGCAGTAACTCAGTTTGTTTGTGTCATCTACTAGCTGTCAAAATGGCTGAATTAAAGCATCTTAATCAGTGAAACTTCAGACATATATTCCGGGTCTGTATGAATGAATGTCGTGAGATAAATTCGTTGTCAACAGATCCACTGGGGCATATTGTGTGATGTACCCTGTATGTCACGGCTCGGGGTACATAGGCTCACACTCAAGGTTACATCACACCATATACCCCTCGAGACCAGTTAACAAATTATAATGAAAAGACTGGTACCAATTTGTCAAGTGAACCTTGCGCAGCACATCTTCAAAATGCTTCCCGTCTACCTGAGAGCTCCATACACTGACCTCGGAATCATTAAGCCACACATGTACCAAGCTCCTCACAGCAATAGTCCATTCGTGGAGATCTCTATACTATCGCTGTATACTATCACCAGTCCTCGGATGTACCAGAGCTCAGAAAACAGGGAGGAGTGCAGTGAGATGATCCCCACTTCCATTTGGAGAAAATCGGTTTCCCTTTGGAAGTGCTAGGGCAAGCCGAGACAGATGCATGAGGCCGAGCACTGCCGGAAAATTGGTCGTCCGCAACGAAGATTTTAACAGGTAAAATCCCTAGTTCCGAGCTAGCTGTCGTAGGCCAGATTTCCATACTATATATTATACAGTCATTATACGAAAGTTTACAAAATTTTAAAACTTACCCCATCACACTCTATGCATTTATCCCAGGGTTGGATGCTTGGTTGCAGATTACCCTAGTCTGTATTCGTCTGTAACCGAGAGATGTACACGAGGAAGCTGGTGGGGACATGCTTCAATCCTGGGACTGTCACACATCCACGTCTGCAGATTTTACTAGTGTTTTCTATGGGTGAATCACTGTTATAGAGTGATGTTGAAAAACCCTTTACGCTACTAGGAGACAGTGGTATATCTTCTGGTGTAACATACGCTAGTGTGTTTTCGCATAGGACATCGTACAATGACGACTGCATGGTTTTGAATTAGGCAACTATTCAAACATGACTTTTAACCAATTCCGAAGGGGTCTCCAGTCAATTACAAACAAAGTTGTCCGTACTCTGTATTGACGCAGGTATTATTTGTTTGGCATCCCATTTTACACTTTGTCGAAGCTCTTTTATTGATCATACTGCAGGATTGAATAGCTAAGACAAGATGAGGAAAAGATCGACAATATCCATAAGAGGATCTTCAAACCAATACTGCTTTGCAGTCTGACTTCCAGAAACATCCTTCCATGATAGCACTGGGGAACACTTTCTATGTACAGCCATGGTAGATGTGACAGCTCTCATCTCATGAGGTTTCGATGTCTGGGGTGGAGGTAATCCCGTAAAGTCGTAGGCACTGAGTATTGTAGATCGTAACCAAAAGGGGACCATTGTACGGGAGACCTCTGAGTAACCATCTGAGAGATGGGGTTAAACTATCCCTTCTGGGATTGTCGCAGGGTTGATAAGGCTTGGAAGTATATGCGTAGAGCTCAAACTGCACATAGCAATATGTCCTCGTGATCCTCCGGATGTAGAATCAAAGCCGGGATGGTGAATAGCCTGTCGGGTTGACCAGGAAGTTCTTGGCGATAAAATCCCATCGCAGACCCAGGTGGACCTTTCCATGGTTGTGCCTCGAATCGTCACCTCCTGTTTACATCCAAGGTGTGTATATTTCTGACCCATGCAGCAGTAACCAGGGCCAGAAGAAAGACTGTTTTGAGTGTAATCTGTTCAAAGTCTTTTTCTGCCAAAGGTTCATATTCTGCTGAGGTCAGGTGTCGTAATATAACGTTCAAACCCTGTTTGGGTGGACGAAATCTGGACGACTGGTTGGCAAGTTTATTATAGCGGAGCAGTGCATGCATTTCGGGGACTACAGCGATCTTTATGCTCATTGTGGTAGCGATGACCAAATTAAGAGCTCTAGTTATGTTGATAAAATTTGAGAAAATTAAAGGCCTAAACATTCTCTCTCTCTCAAAAAAAAGAAAATCTCCACAGGGAGGCTAAAAGAAAGAGAATGATGAGGCAGTCAATGGATCAGATCAAGCACGGCGTGCTGCACGAGATCTGAGTGCATGACCTATATACTGGGATGGGGGTCATGGTGATGCATGGGTGGCGGTCATGGTGAGGCATGGGTGGCTGGGCAAATGAAGCTTTGAAGCTGGAAACTTTGATCAAGGACGTTTCCACGCAAGGGATCGAAAGAAGAAGGAGGAATGCACCGAGTGAGATAGGATAAGTTTAAAAACTTTCAAATTTTGAACTGTTTCTAGTGGCCAAACAGCAAGTTGAATTTAGAGTCTAGAATATGCTACGATACGTTTGTTTCCAGATGGGTCCATAAAATTTGAAATAATGTGAGTTTATCATTCAAATATCATAAATGCCTACAGTATTATTAACTTCCAGTTACCTGTCATCATTTTCGGGCTGCAGGACATGGCAAACACACTGCCTTCTGCAGGAAATAAATGAGTTAATTGTTGCAAAAAGTGTGAACCTAGAACAAATTTCACTTTAAAACAAGAGTCATCAGAAGATGACAAATCCCCCCGGCCCCTACAAATTCGAAAGAACAAATTATCTGCCTGTTAAGTCCACTTAATGAAGAATGATGAAGAATGCACTATGACGTGTACATAGTTTCAAGGAAGAATACCTACTAGTTTTTAAGATATGGTCAGAGTCAAACTTCTTGCCATGGAAACAGGAAAAAACATATCTAAATTCCTAAATAGCAAAAGGAGCCACTTCAACCCCTGAATAATACATGTTCCAAGTTTGATTCAACACTTTTGAAAAGTGTTTTAGTGCTGCTCCAGAAACGACACCTACCTCCATTTCAGCAAAGTCTAACTTGTTAAATTTTGAAACATTGCTAAATAGCAAAAATAATTTTTTTTTAAATTACAAAATAGCAAAAGGCACCAGTTCGGCATGTGACTGATACATCTTTCAAGTTTCGATCAAATATACTGAATGGTTTTCGAATTCTGCCCCGGAAACGAACCCCATTCCCAATGGAGTCTATGTCCAACTTCTTTCCATAAAATTTTTAAAAAGTAAAAATTAGAAAAATCCCAAAATATCAAAAGGCACCACTTCAGTATGTGACTGACAGATTTGCCAAGTTTCAATCAAATACACTGAATGGTTCTGAGTTCTGCCCCGGAAAAGGAAATGATTATGGACAGACAGACGGACAGACTGGCTGACCCCTATATGATGAACTGTCACTGCTAATAAGATGTAAATTCAACATTTCTTTCAATCCGGTACACACTACAGACGGATATAGAGAAATTGACAAAATCACTATGTCTATAAAGTATCATTTTTGAATGTTAATAATATCTTTTTTTTTGCCAGTGGACTTAAAACCATTTACAAAAGTCGTATATCGCTGTGTATAAGGCGAGTTTTTTGTACCTAAATTGAGGGGGTTAAGAAGGGGGGTCGTCTTATACACGGAGTCGAAGATCTCACATTTTTTTCCACTGGCGATGTCAACCAGAGGCCGATAGCCAGCCCTGCATTAGACAATAAAACTTCACATTTCGTCCTAAATAACTGTTCCAATAACTATTTCTATACATAAACATGATTTGTATCTCTTTTCCTTGAATAAAGTTTGATAATTTCTGCAAATAAAGTTGAAATGACCCTCGCCTCGATGCAGATTGTCAAACCACCTGACACAGCAAAACAATCAACATCCGTGAGTAGAGAGCCGGAAGTACCGGTAAGCATTTGCATATTGCACATGTGACCTAACATGTGATAACCGGTGAAGCTGAAATCAATTCCCGCTGTTTTTACAGTTGTATTAACAAGTGTTGGAGACGGTGTGTACAAGTGATTGTGGAATAAACACGCTGAATGTGAAGCAAACATAAGCCTAGTTAGTTACAACATAGTTGATTGGCGATTAAATTACTCACCATTGTCTCTTATATGTTATTACTTCATAAATGAATTTTATTTTACAGGCACCAATTTGGTGTCGCACCGTGTAAACACAAAATAGCGACGTATGCTGGTGTTACCTATCATTGTAGAAAAAAACAATGCAAGATAAACATATTTTTATTGCATATATAAGGTTTGTGTGCGCACTTGTGATGTGCTTCATTCCAGGTCGCCCTATACACTGAGTATAGGATTTTGGGTTGATTTTTAAGGCATGTACAGGAGGGTCGTCTTATACGTGGGGTCGCCTTATACACAGCAATATACGGTATGTCATGTCTTATCACTTGAAAATACTCAAGTCTGATCTAAACACACATTGTTGAGGACCTAGAAATCTGACAGCAGCAGATTGTTATCTCTGGCGTGTCAATGAAATGAGTGAGTGTGAGTGAGTGAGTGAGTGAGTTGGGTTTAATGCCACTTTTAACAGTATTCCAGTCATATCATGGGGGTTAAAGCGAAAACGGCACCGATTGGCGAAAACGGCACCAGGCCAAAACGGCACCGATTGGCGAAAACGACACCTCGACTCAAGCGAAAACGGCTACTATTGCCTGGCGAATACGGCACCTTATTTTTTTTTACCTTGGTCAAATAAGTGCTATTAAACTTATATGGTAACTTGCAAACACCAATAATTGTGAGATGCTAAAACAAGTTTACATTAGAAATTAGCCTCTACTACAACTATAATCCAACTTAGCTTATACGCAACACAACTTATTGTGAAAACATGACATGCTTTGAAGAAAAATAATAGAAATTAAACTCACGTCGTCTCATACAAACACAAATAATTGTGAAATTGTGAAATAAAACAAGTAAGAAATTAGACCCCTACTCCAATTTACTCGCCGACTGATTGGGAGGTGCAGTTAACTTAATGTGAAAACAGTATACGCTTTCAAGTTTTAAGTACCTTTACCATGTTTACTCAATTTAAACTGAAACTGTATTTAAGAGGCCTAACATGGTGCTGTCAGATCACAATTATTCACAATGGCCTTTCGATGTGTTGCATGAGAGAAGAATGTCAGAAAACAACAACATGCTGTGTTAACTGTGACCATGTAAATAAACCATATATATTACTACAAAAATCGTTCTTATCCTTATTAAAAATATCATGGTGTGTCAGCTCAATGTGGGAGGAAAGTGATGCAGGTCTCAGATGTTTACCACTTCGGTGAAACCCACGAGCACGGGTATGGTGCTGACTAACCTAGAAACATAATCGGGGCGAACCCGGATTCGAACCCACAATCATAGGTTTCTGGCATGCCCAAGGGACGCAACTCTGCACAGCAAATTGCATCACCTTAGACGACAGGGCCACCCGTGCCCCCTGTCAATGAAATGAGCAGCTGATCGTGCTAAATGATCTATTATCGCGAATAATTCGTCATACAGTTGACAATGAACAGAAATACATAAATATTGATGTAAATGGTTTTACATTTTAGTTACCAGTTATCCCCCAAAATACACATATTTTTAATTATTTGCGGTAGAATTGAATGGGAATCATGTTCAGGGTTTGCATATTTCAGTTGCACGGGGTACCGATCTCGATCAAGTTATTTCCATTTTACCAACCAATAAAAGTTCAATAAAACATGCTTCCCCAGTTTATTTACTGATTAGATCTGAGGTTCTTATTACGATGTTGGCATCAATGGGTTTTCTTTGAACTTCTTTAATATTCACGAGACCCGACGGCTTGTTTACGCTTTGCAACCAACTTAAGTTCTAAAAATCGCAAAAAGATCGGCAGGTTGTCCTGGTAGTTAGGTATGCTGGAGTACGAGGAGTACACTGTTGTTAATTAATGAAATCTTTTAAACATTTATATGCAGATTCATAAATTGATTCTGAAGGAACTGATGTACTTTATATTCCTGTCCAAACAACTTTGCAGCAATGTTTATTTGACTGAATGATGGAAGCATCTGTCGTTTTCCAGTTGGGGTGTCGCCATTTCCTTTGAAAGAAATGTAGTTTGAGGACCCAAATACTGCAGTCTACCCTAATTTTAATGACAAATTCTCTCTAAATCCAGATTTTGACTCAATATATGCAGGTTGATAATATCTTCAATAGGTCACCTTCATCAGGTGTATAGGTATTAAATATAGAAAAAACAGAGTCCAGATATTCGTGCTTGTCAAAACTCTTATCCACACAAGATCTTTGGCCGTTCAACGGCTCTTCAGGCGTAATGAAAACATTAACTTACATTGTAGTCCTAGGTGACGCATAACAGTAGTATTTGTGGCGTCATAATGCCTATGATGTAATAGTGACAATAGAGAGAAAAGGATTTCATAGCCACAGGACCGCGCTTCTGCCTGGGCAACATGAGAGTTGTGTACTGGAGCATTGTCTTGCAGGAGACGGACACCCTTGGTCAGCATGCCACGCCTCTTAAGCTTGAAAGCGTCCCGCAATTTCCGCAGCAGTGAAGCATAATAAGCTCCTGTAATTGTGGTAACCTTTGCCAAGAAATCCATCATCACTACTCCGTGCTGGTCCCAAAACACCGTGAGCATGACCTTGCCTGCAGAGGGTTGGACACGTGCCTTCTTTGGGGGTGGTGACTCCACATGCTTCCATTGCATCGACTGAACTTTCGTCTCAGGATCATATTGACTTCAAATTTTCGTCATACTGCATCAGACGACCTGAACTGGTTTGGTCTTGAAAACCGTTAGTCTGCAATCGTGGTCCGTGACACAGGCAAAGTTGACAGGAACTTGAGATGAGTAATATACAACAAGGGGTGCTTCTACCTCACCCTCTGCCACACTTTGGGAAGGTCTGCTCACTATTGATGTATTTGGCCTAAGAGCCCTGATGTCACATGTCTTTGCCTGGGAGGATCAAGATAATTGGCTGGCTGTTTCTGTATCCTTGAATCCAGTCTGTTTGTAGAATTCTGGAACTTCTGATTAGTCAACCGGATGATGTCATCATGGATGGAGTGTTCTCTACCATTGAGGAATTGTAGAGCTGTAAAGGGCTGCGACAGCATAGGGACGAGGATGTTCTGACGTATCTGCTGCATGAGATGGTTTCCCTGCATAAGCAGAAACTGGGCTAACATTCATACCTGAGCTGAGTGGAGAACCTCTTGCATCTTGAGGATATGGTCTAAGGAGCTGTGGATGAAACCCAACTGTTCTAGGGTTGCCCTGCATGCTGATCGATCAGGGGGATGACATGTATGAAACCAGCAGCAAATTAGTTCATGTTGGTACTGATGTTCATCATCTGTTTGTTAACAGCCTCAAGGTCCTTTAACTTGACAATCATTGACAACTTGACAAGCATCTGGTCTTCCGGGCTTGTGGTAATCAGGATGCTGCAGAAAAGGACAATCGTGGGTCTTGTATGTGTTCCTACTAATCGATTGAAGCCAAGCCAACATTGCTGGCTCTGGATGCATTCAGTGACATATCTATCCTTTTAATTATGTTGTCAGTGTACGACAGATGGGGAAATGTGCTGAATTTCTCTGACTTAGACACTGGCTCTTCCTAAGCCACACACTCAATGGCTTGGTTGGCTGTTCTTATATATTGGTTGTCTGTTCTTATATATTGGTTGGCCGTGATGCAGGGATAAGATGCAACCAATCCTGAATTATATCCCTGACAGTATTGTAATTTTTACAATAAATTGTATATTTATAATACTTATCATTCTCCCTTCTTCATTGATCCTTGAGTGGAAACTCACCTTGAACCTGTTTCCAGCTTCACCACACCCAAACACATCCCAACTGTAACCATGGACACCACTATCACCACTTGCCCTTGCAATGCATGGACCTCATGGTGCCTGACCACGTTACCTACCCTGCAAACTCATTCTCTTCATAGAGCATTTACAGGCTCATGTAACTGTGATGCAGGGATGGTTGAGTGGGATTTTTACGTATGAGATAGGATAAGAATAATAAATATATAATTTATTGTAAAAATTTACAAATTTTTAAACATATTCTATCTCACACTTTGCATTTATCCCACGGTTTGAAGGTGATGTGCAGATACCTTTGCCAGAAATAGACTTCAACCATGAGACGTACACAAGGAAGCTGGTC